GCATGCCGAATTACCGAATTACCACATACATACATGATCGAATTCGTATCGATAATAAAAATAATAAAAAAATCTTTCTAAGAAATTGATCCATAACACAGGCCAACAAATTTTTAACAGAAAGTATAGGTTTAACCTTCTTCGTGCCTACATGCATCTTCGAAATATCTTAAGCTTGGAACAACCATTAAATTACAAAATCAAATTATTACCTCCATTTCACCTTTATTCTAGGGACTGAAACGATTATAATATATATTTTTAAAATTTTACAGGAGAAGCAAAAAACTATTTTAATTGAAAAGTTTGTTTCTATTAAAGCGATTTATTTGTAGTAAATAAAAAAATTTTAACAGTGAAACCTATCAGTTTTTATAATAGTTGACAGTGGCGTGTATAAAAATGGATAAATTGGACTTTTTAACTTTAATATTTAAATGTTTTTGTAGATAGGGCTTTTTGTTTTTTGTCAATTAAATCGCAAATTTTGCATTTTTTGTATGGACATTAGTTTTGATGCAATACATTATAATCAACAATAAAATCGATTTTGAATTTTTGGTTAGTTAGGGCCGTTTATTATTATTTTTTGAGTTTTATTTATCGCCCAGAAAAAAAAAAAGTTATTTTTAAATTTATTTAAAAAATCATTAAAATAATAAAACAAAACAAAAAATTATATCACTTTTTGCGAGATTTCAGACCAAAAATATGAATGATAAAAATGTTTGCGAAAAAAATTATGTATTCTCACAAAAAAACAATAAAACTTAAAAATAACTTTCATTTTTTAAGCAAAAAATAAAACACATAAATAATGATTATTTTCTGAAAATATGTATGTAAATGTAAATTTTTGTTGGGATTTATATATGTATATAAGCATTAAGTTAAGTTATCTTGAAGAAGGGTGCAGATGTAACAGAGTTCTCAAAAATTGCCAAAAACTGTATTTTCCAGCTTTTAGAACACGACATCTTAAAAACCTGATGTGATAAAGGAATTCTGAGGCCAGATTCGAATTTAGCGACGCTCATATCTTGACCTTTCTCCTACGAAATATTCAGTACAAAATTTGAAATGCCTTGTCGTATATCCGTGACTGATCCATAAGCACCCTATGCTAATTCATTTGAAGTAATTCAATTCAAAATACAAATTCATTTGAATTAGAAATGAATTTCAATTAATTTTTACCAAATTCATTTGAATTTACTCAAATTTTATTTAATTCATTTTTTGTGTCAAAATAATTAATTCAAAATTAGCTAATTAATTGCATGAATAATTCCCGAATCAATTCAAAAATTAATGATTCATTTACAGTTCTAGTATGTATATGTATCATCGTTATTTATGGACCGATTTTAAATAACTGAACATAACAGAGTAAACAAGTAAGAGTGTTATATTCGTCTATGGAATGCTCCCCTATAAACATTAGGTTGATATTTGAAAAAGATCTAAAGTCAATTATGGACACATCCCTTTTGGATTAACAAAATATTGATTTTTAAAAACAATATATTTTTGTCCAACTTTTAAACCATGAACATACATATATGGGCGGTCAATCGGGGTCAATTATAAAATTCGGTAGAGAGATCTTGGCTTGTAAGAAACTTACTTCTGAATATCGAATTTTATAGCTATACTGGCATTCGGTAGAGAGATTTGTGCTCGTAAGGAACATACTTATGTCTAATTTCAGCGCTATATTCGTATTTTTAAGCCAATAGTAAGCATTGAAGTCATTTTCTGAGGGGGACCTTATATGGGGTGTAGAGTGAATTGCGGACCGATCCTCACAGAATTTGGTAGAGAGATTTTAACTCATAAGAAACTTGTTTATGTTGAATTTAATCGCTCTTATTATTAAAGCAGTAATGAGCGTTAAATTAATTTTCTAAAGGGACCTATATGGGGGGTAGGGTAAATTATGGACCGGTCCTCATAAAATTCGGTAGATAGATTTTTGATCATGAGAAATTCAGCGCTAGACTCGTATTTTTAAGCCCATAATGGGAGTTAAAGTCTTTTTTTTTAAGGAACCATATATGAGGGATAGGGTCATTTATGGACCGATCCTCATAAAATTTGGTAGAGAGAATTTGGCTCATATAAAACTTATTTATGTCGAATTTCATCGCTATAATTGCATCTTTAAAACAGTTATGACTGTTAAAGCTGTTTTTCAGGGGGGCATTTTTATTTATTTTACCTTACCTATAAGAAATATTTGACAGACATGGCTAGAACATCTTAGAATTTAATAAGGACCCAGAATATATATATATATATATATATACTTTTGTGGGTCTTTGATCAATATTTCGATCTTTTTTGATGATGGATATAAAAATTCAATCTGGTAACAATTTTTCTAACCCCAGTTTAGTTATTAATTCATTTAAAAAGAAAACTTTAATAGGGTTTATAAATACAACAGTTTTTTGTAAATAATTCGATAATTAAATTGTTGATTTTATAGCAAAACAAATTAAAAAAGATTAAAGTTTGAAGTTTTCAAATAAATCAGGGGTTTAGTCCATATTTAATTAATACACAAAGCACAGTTTATTTCACGATCGTGAAAATCATTTATCAACTCTCATAAAAGTATAACAAACAGTGAAAATGCTTTTGGAATTTGATTACACTAATGCGATACTTTCAATTGCAGAGGGAATTGTTCGCCCCCCAAAACTAGTGTAATAAGAAATTATTTCCGATTAATTATTATGAAAAATAAAGCAACTTATGACTTATTTTCCTAACAACAAATATATAACCCTTTTGCACGTAAATAATTAGTCATCGGACATGAAAAATTAATTATTACAAATATATTTATTTATATGTATGTGCGAATGTTTGCATTGATATTAAAATACTCTCAATCTAGAATATTTTTATAAGTAAAAATTGAAAATTATAAAACGATAAATTTGAGTAGAATGACAAAATTCATTAGTCGTATTATTTTCATTTTAATTTAAGTTAATGTTTATTTTAGAACAGAGATAAGATAAAAAAAATTAAATAAAATACAATAATATTTGGAGTGAGTTTAGTAAATACCATTGAAATGAAAAGATTTGTAGTGTTTTTATCATTGATAAGATAATTACACTAGTTTTTATAATTAGAGAGGACTCTGTCATCCAACCCCAAATTAGAGTTGCTCTAATTTTTTTTACGAATAGTAATAAAAATAGCAAACAAAATTTCATTTAACTTTGTAATTTTTTTCTTCTTATCATCGTTATTATTTATTATAAATTATTTGTTAATTGCTTGCATTTTTCTATAGTTAACAAATTTTACTGTAAAAATGAAATTAAAATTTATTGTTTTTTTTCTTTTTCATTAATTAATTATTTTCTCACCACAAAGAGTATGTTGAATATAAAAAGCACATATTTCACAAAAACACCTCCACAATCCATTTTATTTGATTAATTTTCACTTTTTAACTGTTTTCTACTTATTACGTGTTATTACTTAGAAAGGTTAAAATACAACTAAAATCATTTTCGAACTATATAGAACTGAGTGCTTTTTCGTTGTACATTCTTATCTGTCCTACAATCCAAAACAATAAGAGAACTTTGAGAGGAAATAACTGAACACAGCAGAGTAAAAATTTTCAATCTGGCAACAATTATTCAAACACCCGTTTAGTTAATAACTTATTTGAAAAGAAAACTTTTAATGGGTGTAAGTGGTTTAATTGTTTTTAATTCAATAATGGAATTGGTTCATTTCATAAAATTATTTATGAGGATTAGTTCATAATTGACCCAGACAAGACAATATATTCACAAAAGATAAGAGAAATTTTTCATGCGGTAATATGCACCACATGACCCAAGCCAGGGTCAACAAGCCCATAAGTGACTGATACAAAGATATCTGAAAGGTCACCAGATCACAAAAAATACCCTATTACCCCAGTCATCCTGTCCCAAAACCATAAACATGCCAAGCAAGGCACGCGAACTGTCTTCTTCGGTACTCCTTCGCAAAGCGGACCAATCTTCCCCAAACATTGCAGGAAACCACTCGCGATGAATAGTGAGCAGTCCGTGTGGATAAAGTCATACTGAACCAGTCATAGGCATACGTGAAATAGCCCCAGTAGACCTCCTCTCACGCAATTTGCGGATAAGCTTCGCCCTATGTAGACAGCCATTAGAACTGGCCACGTGCCTTTCCACCCCACAATTGACGCACCTGACCGGCAAACCAACAGCCCTAGTGACCTGTTCATTTACAGATTCACTAGTCAAAGTCTACCCCTTAACCAGGTACAGAATATTTGCCCGGGCCTTGAGACCCAGGACATTTCACACACCTATAAGGCATATGACAGTTCGACGATACATGGCCTAACGCTGACAGTTAAAAAATTGTGTGATAAAACTAACTCTCTCTTTTTTCCTAATAAATACTCTACAACGCAGAATATATAGAATATCATGAAATTGCCTAACATCAGAGTCCCTAGACATCTTCAACATCCACTTGTCATTACGCAGTCTAGTAACGCTGATAACTTTAACATTAATCTGGAGATCACCCTGATAGTCCTTAACGTCACCAGACTCGAATGAGCATGGAAGCCCCTCAAACGCCACCGAAAAGGACCGAAGACCCTTAGGGGTATAAGTATAAAATCCTTATCCTCCTCAAGCAAACCCTAAAACAGCTCATAATTTCCAAGAGTGCACGCCCCTAAATTTGCACGGCTTCTCACTCCTCTATGTACCGAACTCAAATCGACATTGCCTACTATATTACGTAGGATTCTCAATTCCCCGAGTACTATCCTTCAAAACTATACTGACTACTATAACAGATAGCATTTTCACTATCCAAAGAACACTATCCTCAAACAATACGCATAATAAGCGGGATATTCGTTTATTTTGTGACCTTTGACCGCCAATATGTCACTTAGCGTACACAACATTTAAAATTCAATGAAACCGAAAACATTTTTTTACCATATTCACCTTCTTAGGATTAATAAATACTAGTTTATTTATACTTAATAGGAATAGTTAGATTGACGCAATCCTCGTACAAAATAAAACGTAAAGAACATGGCAACAAGTTGAGCAACTGCTAAAACAATTCCAACAAATCGAATAATATCGTTGTTGCCTGCCCAAAAGTCATAAAATTCATTTGCACAACCAGGCTTTGTCAAGTAAACTTTATCCGGACAGTCGACTAAAATCCATTCACCACAACACGAATTGGGAACCTTGTTAGTGCCATAATCGCTCGGACCATAACGACCGCAACAGTTAAACTGAAAATAAAAAAAATATTTTTATTTAAGAAGACTAAACTAGATTTGTTTATTTCGTCCATCTTACTTGTATTTGCATAACATCCATGGGATAATAATACTGAGGATAATTCTGGGTCCAAGCCTGTAAAACTAAATCCCTCATTGCATTAGGATGTTTGCTAATGTTAACAAAAATCCATGTAATCATTGTAAGTTGAAGTATAAATATTATAAATGTTGTACCACCATACTGAAAATAATATTAATTAATGTAAATTTTCAGGGAAAATTTTGCAAAAAATAATTTCTTACAATAGTTAAGAATATTGTATTTTCTATATATACACCAAAACTTCCTAGGATGGCAACTGCTACAATAAAGAATCCTAATATAATGACTAATGTTGGTAACGTTTTAATATCGGCAGCATTTTGGAATTTCGTAAAATCGCCAATTTTTTTGATCATTACAATGCCAACAACTATTAGCACAAATCCAAATACCTGGAAAAATACAAAAGTAACATTTAAGAAATGTGCTTAAAATAGAGTGGTTCTAGTGCTTATCATCCAGCCGCGGAAATGCATTAGCATTCCCACAATGGCTCATTGTTAAGAGGTTAAAAAATACGTAAAGGGAAAATAATTCGTAGAAGAACAATGATTTAAATTTTAATATAGAAAGAAAATTCTTACCGCAAATACCGCATTACAAATGTACAAAATGTAATTAATAATTGGAGATTTTATAAAACGTTCCATTGTGATTCTAAAACTAATGTAACAGTAAACAAATTAAAATTTTAAATTAAATATTTATTTAATTAATCTCTCTCTTGATTGGTTTTTGTTATACTAACTAGACACATTCTTAATAACTAGATTGCCGAAAAAGTTTTTCAATGAGGTAGACATACCCATTATACATGGTTAAAACTGTGAAAAGTGCCAACTATATCTAATCACAATTTGTTTATACCATTGTATATATTAACAAATAATTGTTTCTATCGGCCATTCCCAAAAAAATTTAATATTTGGGGTATAAAAGGTGAACATTTTTAATAGTTTAGGAGTTAATGTAATTCAAAGTCCAAATTTCCAAAAAAAAAATATATATATAAAATAAATTTTATATAGGGACTATTCCAAGTTAAAACTGCTGCCATTCTTTAGTTATTTGAAACATACATTTTTAATGTGAGTCCAATAAAAGACAAATGAAGAAAGTCGTTCTTATCAAAAAACTGGAGTAGGGTGGGTAAAAATGTTAAAAATTTAATTTTCAAATGCAAATATCTCCTAAGCTATAAGAGATAATTGATAGCATTATGTATGTATTTTTTTTGAGACCGGAACACAAACGACCCCAAGACACTTTAATTAAGCTATCTAAAATTCCTCAGTTTACTATTTTTTCGACAAATTTTCCTGGGCTATATCGTTTTGCGTGTGCCTTAAACATTTTCGATTTTTTTGCGAATGAGATTTAAAAGTTGTGACATCGATTGAAATGAAAAAATATCTATCACATTTTAGTCACATCAACGTGGCATACCTCAAAACTGAAGTAATTCAGTTTTCAATAGGTGTGCCAGATTTTAAATTATACCAAGGTATGTAGATGATCTGGTAAAAACGACTTAACCACTATAAGTATTACCGTTCAGTAGTTGATAATAACTATATAATTCTCTCAGAAATCTAAACTTTATCATAATATGGAAGTATGCGGCCACAGTACCTCAAAGAAAAACGAATTTTTAGTTCGTCACGGAAAAATTTAGAAAAAAAAAACGATTTTGACTGGTCATAGCTTTTAAAGCTAAATACTTTTAATACATCCAATTCGCGAGCCAAGGCATTTTTTATTTCATTCTGCACAATATGTTTGCATTGATTCTTGAAAAGTGTAAATATTTCATTGATATAAAAATTTTTTGGAATTGACGATATTTGTACATATTTATTCGTTCTTAATACTTGTAGTTGTTTATTAAAATAATCAGATTCTAATACAATAATGTAAACCACCATTTTTGCACTTTCTTTTCCAAAAACTATGTTATCAACATTAATATTGATTAACTTATTATACCATTCACCTTCATGCGAAGGGGTATATTAAGTTTATCACTTCGTTTGTAATTTCATAATTCCATGTAGATAGTGAAGTAAATTTTAGCAATGTCAACAATTATCTATGGTCCCCATTATCTTCGGGATCGGAATCAACAATAAATCTATCAGACATGTTTTAAAGAAATTTGCAAATTCTGTTGAATAATAATAGAGATTTGAGTAAAATTACGATTTAACCCATAAATTCTCCAGAAGTCTGAATATACTTCGGATCCTATGTACAAAGACAATATGATTAGCAAAATAAATATACTCTAAAGACCTTCTTACATTTGATGTACATTATGTCTAAGGAAAGATTGATACGTTTAGATATGTCCAAAAATTATTCAAATAAACTATGATGAAGGTATATAAGATTCGGCATAGACGAATTTAGCACTATTACTTGTTAAAACATATCACATACTGCTGCCTTCATGAAATTGTTCCAATAATCTTATAAAAAGTATAACCTATAATATCACTGTATTTGACCTATAATATCACAAGTAATGTTGTTATACATATATATGGACATACATAGATTCTTTTAAATCGATAGTACCAGTATTTATCTGGTTTACTAGAAATTAGTCCTATTGAAATAAGACCTCAGGTTGAAAATCGTTGAAATCGTCGTTTGAATTGTTGCCTAGAAACTTCCATTTTTGTAGCGTTCGAACATCTTGGTTTTTTGCATAAAAAGTTCCCCAAAATCAAACCTAGCGCCAATTATAGGGCTAATTAGAAGCTATAAGTAACACCTATTTCCAAAATTGGTTCTGCTATTAATCTCATCTATTAAGAAATATTATAGAGTAAAGATATTAACATATAACAAGTAAGAGTTCTATATTCGGCTGTGCCGAATCTTATATACACTTCACCATGATGTGTTAAAAAACAGCCAGTACGAATTTTATTACAAAAAATCCAAAAATACCAATTGTAAAACGGTAAGGTACCAAAAAGTCCCCTTTTATGGGTTCTCACTTAATCCGGGCTCCACATGCATAATTTAATATTTCTAGGTTTAATATTATAGAAAATTCAAAAAGCACCTTTTGTAGAAGGAAAAAGTACCAAAAAGTCCCCTTTTATAGGTTCTTACCTAGTCAAGAGCCCTGCATGCTAAATTTCATGTTTCTAGGTTCAATATTACAGAAAATTCAAAAAGTACCTTTTGTAGAACGAAAAAGTAACAAAAAGTATTCTTTAATGTGTTCTGACCTAATCCGGGCTCTACATACTTAATTTCATGTTTCTAGGTTCAATATTATAGAAAATTCAAAAAGTACCTTTTGTAGAACGAAAAAGTAACAAAAAGTCCCTTTTATGTGTTCTGGCCTAATCCGGGCTCTACATACTTAATTTCATGTTTCTAGGTTCAATATTATAGAAAATTCAAAAAGTACCTTTTGTAGAACGAAAAAGTACCAAAAAGTATTCTTTAATGTGTTCTGACCTAATCCGGGCTCTACATACTTAATTTCATGTTTCTAGGTTCAATATTATAGAAAATTCAAAAAGTACCTTTTGTAGAAGGAAAAAGAACCAAAAAGTCCCTTTTTATAGGTTCTTACCTAGTCAAGGCCCTACATGCAAAATTTCATGTTTCTAGGTTCAATATTATAGAAAATTCAAAAAGTACCTTTTGTAGAACGAAAAAGTAACAAAAAGTCCCCTTTTATGTGTTCTGGCCTAATCCGGGCTCTACATACTTAATTTCATGTTTCTAGGTTCTCCTCACGAAGGTGAAGGGTATAAAAAATATTTATTAGGACCACCATCGTTGTCAGAGTTCTGGTTATTTAAAATTAAATAATAAATAATCTAAAAAATTCTAAAATGGACCGAACCAAATGCCAAATCCCGAGAAAATTTTGAACAAATTTTCATTTTAAATTTGCTTTTGAATGAAAAGTCTGAGTAAAATTTTTATGAATTCAATTTTATGAATCTAATAACTAATTAACTAAAAAATTCTAAAATGGACCGAACCAAATGCCAAATCCCGAGAAAATTTTGAACAAATTTTCATTTTAAATTTGCTTTTGAATGAAAAGTCTGAGTAAAATTTTTATGAATTCAATTTTATGAATCTAATAACTAATTACATTGCATTCATTTAACAACCAATTAACTAACTCTTAATATTTGGTTGTAAATTTGTGAATTTCGGAAGGCGGCTCAGTATCTGGACTCCTTATGAATTGATACTGCCAGAATTTACTCATTAATTAGATTTGTGCAGAATTGTATCACGATGTGTTGATACTAATATGGACATCTGGATGATTCTCAGAAAAAGGTTTCTAACGAGGGATTGAGTCAATTTTGGTCCGAGGTCTATAGAATTAAAACAAGTAATTAATATGGAAAACAAAATGAAATGATCATACTTTCTTAATTTTTGAAAGTTTTATTGACTACTAGCTATACCCAGTGTGCTTCGCTACCCTCATCGTAATGAAATAAAATAAATATCAGTATTGTAAATGTATATATATATCTGCAATATCAAAAATTCCCCTTTTAGAGAACTCTTTAAGTTTGATTTTATGATTCTAGTCTCAATATTACAGAAAATTAAAAAAAACAGTTGAAGAACGAAAAAGTACCAGACAGTGCCTTTTTATATATTTTCATTAAATCAGGATGACGCATGTTTAATTTTCAACCAGAAACCAAAAAAATCGCATACAGTTTTTTATACAATCAGGAAGCTGCATGTCCAATTTTATGTTTTTAGGTTCAATATTATAGAAAATTCGAAAAGTATTAGTAAAAGAACAAAAAAGTACCAGAGTATCCTTTTTCAATTTTCGTTCAATTGGGATACTGCGTGTTTAATTTTATGTTTATATATTCAATATTTTAGAAAGCTCTAAAAGTACCAGTACCAGTGAAGTACGAAAAAGTACCAAAAGACCTATTTTATTTAATTTCATGTTCCTAAGTTCAATATTATAGAAAATTCAAAAAGTACCAATTAAAGAACGAAAAAGTACCAGAAAATATTCCAGTTTAAATTTTCATTCACTCAAGTCCCTGATTGCTTAGTTTTATGTCTACCAAAGGGCCCACTTTTATAGATTCTAATTAACTCCGGGCTCCACATGCTTAATTTCATGTTTCTAGGATCAATATTATAAAAAACACAAAAAGTACCTTTTGAAGAACGAAAAAGTACCAAAAAGTGCCCTTTTATAGGTTCTCACTTAATCCAGGCTCTAAATGCTTAATTTCATGTTTCTAGGTTCAATATTATAGAAAATTCAAAATGTACCTTTTAAAGAACGAAAAAGTACCAAACCCTTTTATAGGTCCTCACTTAATCCGGGCTCTACATGCTTAATTTCACGTTTCTAGGTTAAATATTATACAAAAATCCAAAAAGTACCTTTTGAAGAACGAAAAAGTACTAAAAAGTCCCCTTTTATATGTTCTCACTTAATCCAGGCTCTACATACTTAATTTCATGTTTCTAGGTTCAATATTATAGAAAATTCAAAAAGTGCCTTTTGATGAACGAAAAAGTACCAAAAAGTCCCCTTTTATAGATTCTCATTTACTCCGGGCTCCTCATGCTTAATTTCATGTTTCTAGGTTAAATTTTATAGAAAACTCAAAAAGTACCAGTCGAAGTACGAAAAAGTACCAAAAGTCCCCTTTTATAGATTCTCATTTACTCCGGGCTCTACATGCTTAATTTCATGCTTCTAGGTTTAATTTTAAAGAAAACTCAAAAAATTCCTGTGTAGAACGAAAAAGTACCGAAAAGTCCCTTTATTATTAATTTCATGTTTCGATTTCAATATCAAAGAAAACTCAAAAAGTACCAGATGGAGAATGAAAAAGTACCAAAAAATATCACTTGGTACCGGGGTTCCAAATAACACCTCATTAGCATATTTAGTGTTCTAAATCTAAAATTTGTATCTAAATTGGATCATTGTGTTTGAATAAAATCAAATTTCCCGTTTTTACCCCTTTTGGTACTTTTTTTCTACCCATTAACGAAATCAAAATTCTATTCCAAAATGTTGCAACATCGTAGTGGGAGCCCGTTATTATGTATTTATATGTATAAGTTAATAAACCAAAATCAATGTTTTATGAAAAAAGTACCAAAAATAGGTACAATTTTCACCCCTTAAACATCCGAATAACCAAAAAGTACTAAATTTATAATTTTATTTTTTCGTCAAGTTATAAAGGAGTCAAAAATATTGTTTGAATGTTCACTGGTTTAAAAGATACATGGGGTGCAAAAAAAGTACCAAAATACAGTTTTTACCCGTTTATTCCCTAAAGGGACCGAATTTGAAAAAAGTACCAGACACCTGTCCGCTTATTTTTTAAATGAATGACGATAAGCTTTAAACTATTTTTGTATCTTTTCTAGTTTAGGAGATATGAGGTTACCGAATTTACCCGTTTTTACCCTTTTTTACCCCCTAAATATTCGAATTCCCAAAAATCCCGTCTTAGTGGATCTATTTGGTGGGAGACCTGTCCTTTTTTTTACTCAAAAGTCAGCTATCGTCGTAAAATTATTTTTAAAGGATCCATATATGGAGGCAAGGGTCAAATATTGTCTGACAACATAATTTATATAAGTATATAAAACTGACCTTTACAAACTGTTATTACGATTGGTTCATAAACAACATATTTAGTGATGTGTTCCTGGGGACACTTACATGGGGGATAGGTGAAATCATGAACCAATGTTGTCCATTTTTGATACCAAACAACGAAAACAAAAACTGTATCCTATATTTCAGATATTAAAATATTTATTAAAGAAGCTTTGCAATAATGATATGTCCTACTTCGAAGATAATTAAAAAAAAAACTCTCCTTTAAAATTTTGTTTTTGTCGGTTACGTCTTTTTTAAGAAAAGGGCTCGATATAAATAAAATATTTTCGTAATTTTTCTATTAAACTATTTATTATATAGATGAAATAATGAGATGAATTTGTGTAAAAAAATACATTAATTTAATGAAATAAAAATGAATGTCCTAAAATCTATTTTAAAATTTACATCCTGTGACTCGATTTGCGTATGCTACTAGCTAAACAGCAGGCAAATGTGAAGGCAACAAGTTCCACTAGCGCCACACCAATACCAGCATAACGTATAATATTCGTATTAGTGGCCCAGAAGTCTACAAATGTGGCACGGCAGCCAGGTTTAGTCATATACACGCTTTGGGGACATTCGCCTGTCATTGTACCGCAACATGAGCTTGGTACATTATCGCCATAGTTCTGGTAACTAGTTTTGCCACAACAATTCAACTATTTATAACAAAAAAATATTAAATTAATTAAATATTAACAAAGAATATATTTGCAACAATATTAAATACTTACAGCAATTTGTAAGGCATTCATGGGATAACCATTGGCAGAATCGTTCTTTTCCCAGGCCTTATCAACGGCTTCACCCATGGTATTAAGGAATTGTTGACGTTTAACAAAAATCCAAACCACCAAAGCCACTTGTAAAGCAAAGAGTATAAACATAAACACAGCATACTAAAAATGAGAAATAATATAAATTTTGAGTTTTGGAATTGGGAATAAGTTTAGGAATATAAAGTGGTCAACTTACTGTTGTTGTACAGCAAATACTCTCTCGTATGGAACCACAGCAACCGAAGAACGCCACTACAAAGACTATACAACCCAAAATAATAATTAGAATGGGTATTGTTTCGGTGTTGGCTTCAGGGAAATCAGAAAAATCTCCGATATTTTTAATCATAAGAGAGCCCAAGACTATCAATAATATGCCGCATATCTGAAAGTATTATAAATGAAAAATATTTTAGAGCAATATGCGTTAAATAACAATATTTGTTTAAAAATTATCCATAACGATGTTCATATTTTGATTAAAAACTTTTTATCGTTATTTTGTTCGTGTTCTATTTATATACCAAAATAGGCTATAGCGGTCCTCGATTTGACTATGCATCCACAATTAATTAAAGCAATCTTAATAAAATTGAGCATAAGTTATTTTTAAGCAAACATATAGTCATACTGCAAAGTATGGCGAAAATCGGGCCACAATTGATACTAGATGTCATATAAGGTCTGCTTTGGAAAATGACTAACATTTATATTTGACTTATTAGTAATATAGCGATGAAATTCGTCATAAAGAAGTGAAGCAAAATTTAATTTCCAAATTTTATGGATATCGGTCCCAAGTCTAACCCTTTCAAAAAATCAGTTCGTTGTACATAAAACTAAATGTAAACATAAAAATATTACAATATTTAGATACAATTTGTTATAAATGATTTGTTAAGAAATTAATCACTCAAATTCTTTAGAGATCGGTCAATGATTGATTTAAGTCCCAATGGATGGTACTATTCCGAAAATATGTCTGACGCTAATAATGTTTTCATTATGTCGATGAAAATAAGCTTCATAGCAATATAAAATAATTTGCTAAATTGTGTGAAGATAGGTCCATCATAGAATCCAGACCCCATAATAGGTTTTATTCGGAAATTGTTGTTTTGAAATGCAACATATGATATGTATAATCTCCAATTTGTTTCTGTTTATCTGGTTTTGTAAATTTTGAATTTCAAGCATTTTTATTCAAATCGCACCATGATTCATCAAATATTCATTCAAAATTCAATAAATTTTAATATCAATCTATAACATCATTTAGATTTAATATATACTATATATTCTCATTATGTATTTTCCAATTGTATTGATACAAAATTATTTATTTTTTATTTATTCACTATGAATCACTTCGAAAAGTTTTATTCTTTCGTTTTTAAAATCCATATACATATTTGAACTCGGTTCATTATATTCATTTCAAAATTTTTTAAATTTTATTTGATCTATTCTTTCACTTACCACAAATATTAAATTAAAAATATATAAAATATATTTAACAATATGTGCTAGACAATTCATTTTGATTGTGTTTTATATTTAATTATTTACAAAAAATAAAAATTCTTCAGTTAAAACTTTCTTGATTTCGAATCGCGTAAAATAAGACGTTTCGCGTCGATCGTTGATTTTCGAATAATTGAAATGATTTTGCCAACAAAGCCTTTTTAATGGGAATGTACTTAAAGTTGGTCGGTTGGTTGGGCGTTAGATGAATAAGTACTGCTATTGCTATATCTTATCTATATTTATCATTTTGTGGTTATTTTGATAAAAATATATATATATATTGTTTTTTGATTTCAACGTGTTGTTTTCAGCTAGAAGTGGAATGAATAAAAACCTATGTACATATGTGTAAAAAGTCTGTTTATAGACTTAAAAAATCAAAATATTCTACATTGCAAATAAAAGTACTTGAAATAAAAATAAGTATAATTTTAAATATTTATCTGGAAAAATTAAGTTGGGAACTACAACAAACTTAAAAATATATACATGAATCTCTCGGGTACATGAGTCACCACATATAAAACACATGGTTTTTCCCTCTTAGATTTTATTAATTATTAATTCATTCATAACTCTTCAAGATGGCATTTAAACATACATACCTTATAAGTACCTAAAAATAAAGCAGATTCGGACTCTAATCGGTAGTTTATAATCTGAAAACGCGTGAAACACAACATATCGATTGTTGCCCCAGATCATTCGCTATGGTAGATTATAACAGAAACCTGACATTATATTCTAAAGTAGGAAATGAAATTCTAATGGGTCGTTAATTTATCAGAATTTCGGAAGATCGATTTTTTCTTTCAGAAACTACCACGATTTACCGATTCATTAGATTACCGCTGAATTGCATTATCATAGTTATTATATCAGTTCATTTGGGTGAATCATTACAGAATTTGAGAAAGTGTTTAATATAGCAAATTATTTTTTTATCGAATTTTACTTTAATATCTGAATATTTAAACAACTTATTGAATTTTTTTAAGAGGAAGAAGGTAGGATCAATTACGAACCGATCTTTATCAAATTTTATTAAGAGATTTTTGGTTTTTTATAAACCGTGTTTGAGTCGAATTTCATCGTTGTAATAGCATTTTTAGGGCAGTTATAAACATTACAGTTATTTACTGATGTAGGCCTTATATGGGTGTCAGGGTCATAATTTATAGCAGGGTTTCTAAATGTTTTTTTATACAATTCTATGCTTAAAAGTACAGAAATGTACTATTTGTTACAAGTTTAACTTGTAAGATAAAAAGAATAATCTAAAGTGTTACTTCTCACAAAAATTAAAAGGAATACCAATTTCGGTAAAATTTCGATCAAACTTCAAAGGAAGAATAATAAAATTCTTGGTAATATTGTTAAGAAACCAGGAAGAGATTTTAACTAGAGGTTGTAATTTATACCAAAAAGAGTCCTTTTTAGAATTTTTTTAAATTTCTTTACGTTTCGGTGTAATCTTTGACCGGAAATTAAAATGGAGACACATCAGTGCTGGGGGATATGTAAGAGAACTATAGGCATGAAATGGGGTCTTAGTCCTACTATGTAATTGTAATTAGACTAATTCTATCTTATGCTTCAATAATCTGGTAGACTGCTTTGGGCAAAAAGTGTAATATCAAACAACTACAGCGTACATGCTGCTTGGGTATAAGTGGTGATATGTGTACTACTATTCCACCCATTGAAACATATTTAAGATATGAAGAGGCGCTTATAGCCGAACGGCTCTTTACTTTAGGCGAACTGGCCAAAAGCGCTTATAGGACTCGTCATTAATGTATACTGGACACATTGGAAGGTTATAAACAATCATCGGACGTGCCTGATCACATACCAGACACAGAATATGTTGGAAACTTTGAAATGCTGATCCCAGAAAGAATTTCTTGGTCAAGCGGAACTCTGCAGAGGCAGGATTACGAGCACATCTATACAAATTGGACGTGTGAATTCAGACGAAAGTTGAGTATATGGAGAGGACTGTGAAACTCTGGAGCACTTTCTTTGCCCTTGTCTGGCATTCGTCGAAGTAAGATTTAAGTATCTTGGAAGTGATATTATTCCGGAAATAACATTCCTGACTACCACTGATTGGAAAATTCTTAGGAATTACGTCCAGGAAACTGAGTTTCTATACATTGAAAAATAATACATTCGGTGATTATTTTCATGAAAAGGAGGGCACAACAGGCACCGTAGTGGACTAGGTGTATTTCTTCGGATTTGATGTAGTATAGAGGATATATACTACATCAAATCCGAAGAAATGCATCAACCTAACCTTATGTTTATTATACGATCGTTAACATTCTTAAGGTCTTTTACGAGCAATTTTAATGACTTTTCTTAATCTTGGTTAAAGTGATGAAGGGGTTCGCTTTAGGTGAAACATGTATGATTTTAACATAAGTGTATTTTGAATCATTGAACCAATGCGAATTCTTTTCCATTGGCTTAAAAATTTCGATATGTATAAATATATATTTTGAATCTATTTAGAGACACCCATATGGTGTTAAGCCCCCTACGACTTTTCGTACTTGTATTTCAAAATGCTAGATAAGTGCAAAAATAAAACAATGTTATCATGTGTAAACAATAATGAAAACATGATAATTATGATATTTAGTAATATTTCTATATTATTTTGCAAACAAAAATAATAAAAAGCTACTAATAGAAGAAATTTGAAATGGTAAAATATTTTGAAATAAACTTAGATGAATCATAACAGTCAACATTTTCAAAAAGTTGTTCTTTTTCTAATGTTATTTATGGCCCACACCTTACGTCATAGACAAATAGGTTAGTAACTCGACAATAAGAATAATTTAAATGATGGATAAAATTATATCGCTCACTTGCAACTTAAGGGTCCTAAAAACAAATTTGATGGCATTTTAAAAAGTTATCGTTTTTAAACGACTTATTGAAGTTTAATGGGATTAATTATCAAAATAAAAATTCTAAATTTAAATACAGTACTAGCTCGATTTGTAATAACCGACCACTAAAATACAATAACTACTACATACTTTTTCCGGAAAGTCACTTGTCCATTTTCACCTAGTCTATGATTTTACACAGTCTCTCGAAATTTCGCTTAAATCTAATACAATTTAGAACAGGAAAGTTTAAAGATTTATTTTTCTTTAGCTCCTAGATATGTAAATAATTTCAGTCATTTAAACATTTGCTGATAATAGAATTTTTACCTAAGTTCAATATGAACGTTAGTTGTGACAACAGGTACAAAATAGTATATTGCATTACTCATAACATTGAAGTAATTTAATTGTCAAAATTTCATCAAAGTACACTTATAGATAACTGCTGAATATTGTCCATACTTAAGAATTTGTATTTATTACGATTTTATATAGCCTGAATTTATGAACACAACCAAATCTTATCTTATAGACCTAATCTAATTTCACGGAAACATTTATTAAAAAATCAATCAATTTTCTAGTGCAAACTCGAAATATACATAAGTATAAACCTAAATAATTAATTTTAATTATGGGGAATTCGATAGGGATAGGGATTCACATTAATTTAATAATTTAGATTGTATTCATTGAATATTTAAAGTTGTAGATCAACACCTATAACACAGGCCAACAAAATTTGTAAAAATTCGAGACCAGACCAGATCAAAGTATACATTTCTAAAGATTTGTCTATCACGACAGGTGATGGATGGATGTTTGAAAACATCTTACACTTGAGACGCCGTAACAGCGCCAAAATATTATATTATAAAGGTGTCTTTGTGCTTTTATAGCGTCTTAAATATGGACAAAAACTGGATTTTCAAACTGCATGGCACGATATCTGCGAAATCGATGTGATAGACAAATTTTAATCAGATTCGGATTAAGCGCTGTTTAATCATTTAGAAAAGAATTCTTTGATCTCTTGGTTAAGCCACTTTTGGCCTGGATTGTCAATAAAATATTGTAGATATGTAATAATAATAGGGAGGCCGTCCGGAACTAGTAATTTAATCTACCATCTCGGGTTACTACTAACCACAGAATTAGCTAGGAGACTAGTAGTTATTTTAAAATGAACTTATCTTTGGAGGATGTTAATACATAATGTAAAGTCTATTATATAGACTAGTATATAGTCTAGTCCATATTCTGATCTATAGTCTTGTCTATAGTCTAGTCTATAGCCTAGTTAATTGTCTGGTCTATAGTCTAGTCAATAGTCTGGCCTATAGTCTAGTATACAGTCTATTCTATAGCCTAGTCTATAGTTTAGTCAATAGTCTGGTCTATAGTCTAGTATTATAGTCTATTCTATAGTCTGGTCAATAGTATAGTCTTGTTTATAGTCTAGTCTTTAATATAGTATATAGTCTACAATTTTTATAGAATTTATTACAATTAGTCAATTGGTAAATTACACATTAAATTTGACGTTTTCTAGCGGCTTTGCAAAAATATAAATCTGACCTATTGGATTTTGTGACGTGGTTTAACGAAATGATGGAAAAATATTGGCAACACTGACTCCTTGATGATATATCCCATCTTGGTGTATTGCAATCCGGGGGTAAAGAGGTGCTACCAGTACCTCTAGTCTGCCGCGACTATAAACGGGTAATGTTACTTCACTCCTCGGCAAGTCCTTGGTATGATTTGACTTGGGGTCTAAGCAGAGAACCACATAATCTGGTACTACGGGTGGCCAGTTGCCCGCAGGACTATGTCTTGGCTGGTCAGTTGGTTGAGGTTCCTTCGGGATCCAAGTAGTGGCTGTGGTTTAAACCCAAATTCGCGGGAAGAGTAAGTGACGGTTAAAAGACTGATGTAAGGTAAAGTCAATATTTCGGCATAAGTTCGGTGCTATTGCCGAAGACAACAAATACCCCAGAAAGGATTGACTATGGGACTAAGCGTTGGAAATGAGTTAGTGTTAATTGCATATGATACGGGATGAATGTAAAGGTATGCGGGACTCGACCACCAAAAAGACCACCGTGAAATAGGCCAACACGGCAGGTGTTCACGTAAAGCACTTCGACATTAATTTGACTCCTTGTCGACCAATTTTAATAACAATTACATATATCCAAACAAAACAATTTCCCAAAAACCAAAATAAAAAACTGCAACAATATTTGTTAAATAGGAATCCGAATGGTAGAGATATAATATTATCCTTTGGTGAGCTATACAATACTATGCGTACAAAACTACAAAAACCTGTAGTTAAAATTATTTTATATTATTTATTCAAAAACATATTATTACTATTAATTTGTACACTTTAAAATTAGTACATGTATTTATAAAATATTCATAATTCATATTATCATTAATTAAGAAAAGAAAATAGTATTTAAAGAGATTACAAAATTTCAAGTACATTTATGAAATTAATTATTTATGTATGAGCATAAGTAAACATTTTAAAAATATTATAAAAAAAGATATTATTTTAAGAAAAAAAAACTTAAAAATTATTTTAGATGCCTCGATTTATTCGTTTCAAAACTAATTTAATACATATTTTTTTGAAAGAAATTAATAGGCCGAACGACGTTTGTAGTTACGAATATTATTTGCCAAACAGCAAGCGAAAATAAAGCCAGCAAACTGAAAATAAAAGAAAAAATTATAAAATATTAAAAATTTATAACGGGGAATTATTAAATTATATAAATATAAGAGTTATTTATAGGTCTTTGGTTTTGAGAAATGTACCAAAGGACATACTTTTATGGAATGGCTAAATCAATGTCCCTCTTCCTTTATTAAAATGAATATAAACAAGTAAGAAATTATAGTCGGGCGTGACCGACCATATGATATTAAATGTTGACAATTATGAATATTAAATGTGATTTATTTTTCATAATAATTCATTGTTCCGATACATTTAAGCAACTTATGGATGTAAAACTAATTTTCTGAAAGAGGCTTTATTTGGGGGCTAGGGGCAAATATGGACCAAGCCCGATAAAGTTTTGTGAATATATTTATATAATATTTATTGTGCTGAAGTTAATTTTGGACATTCAAGTAATTTTCTGAAGGGGACTTTGTATGGGAGCTAGGATCAAATGAGGCCCGATCTTTATGAAATTTGGCAAGGTCATCAAGGCTTGTATAAAACTTAGTTGTGCCGCTTTTTATCGATATACAGGTATATTTAACATAATTATGAGCTCAGAAGCCCTTTTCGGGGGGTTTTGTTGTAAGGGGGCTAGGTGAAATAATGGACCGATTTTAACCATTTTCAATAGGCTTCGTCCTTGGATCAAAAAATTGTGCCAAATTTCATCCAATTATCTTGAAAATTGCTAAATCGACTCAGAAAACGATTCTAAGCCGATTGGTATACTTTAAGGTGGGTATAGGACGAATATTTTTGTATGTTACAAACATCAGCACAAACCCAATATACCCTCCCCACTAAAGTGGTGTAGGGTATAAAAATTAATTTCAAGAAAAAGTGATTATGTTACGCCGAACAAAATATTTAATTTATTTTAAAAGATATCATTTGATGTTGATTCCGTTTCTAAAACATCAAAATAATGTTCGTATACTCACAAAAGTAATATACATATTTCGGGTTCTCATTAGATTCTCAGACGATCTAGCCATGTCGGCCATGTTTTCAACAGAAAGATGGATGAAAAATATTCCAATAATAAAACAGTTTTTACTTCCCAAAATGACGTTTACTTGAGTGTGCGAAAAAGAGTCCTCAGAATCTCATGTTATAATAATTTTTATATGGACTGCCAAAAAATAGAAATTGAAGAGATGATAGTAGTTAGAACTCGCATTATCATTCGGAGAGTCATGCTGCGTTTGAAAGTTGCCTTAACATTTAAAAATGTAAAGCTACAGATCATTCTAGGTATTTAAGCTGAAAGCAGCGTTGCCACTTTGGTCCAATTGGACCAAAATTGGTAGTTTCAAATCTCTGAAATGATTTTTGGTAGTTTGGTCGGTAGGTTTAAATTTTGGTCCAAATTTGGTAGGATTAGATAATTTTGATCTCATGCATATTAATTTATAAACATTTCTGACCTTGTTATGGCAAAGTAATAAGAATTTTAATAAATACGTCAATCTTAAGTTTATCCTTGTTAAGTTTATATTGTTTGTTCTAAGAAAATATTAAGTTTCTATGTATTTCAACATTTCTGATTCATGAATGTTAGTAAGTTAGTTAGTTTAAAATGAGGATGTTACATAAAATCGGAAGGAATACTTCTAGGCTTGCATCGGTCCCGTTGTGAACTTCCTAACCAATGCCTCAGGTGGGAATTGAACGCACAACGTCAGGTCTGACTATAACATAAACCACTAACCTACTGGAGGCCACACTAATGCATTTTTTTCTAAGAAGCCAGATTCATGAATGAATATATAATTTGGTGGGACTACTCGGGAATGATTTTGGTACAAATTTTGTCGGAAACAGCAATTATGTATTTCATAACTATATAGTACCAAAGTGTTTGGAAATTTTGTCTAATTACGTAAAAGTAAACCATTGATTCTTCGGAACAAATCATTGTATGATATTACATATTAGTTTTAAAAATAATGAAACTCTTGACAGAAGCAATTGTCCCTAAGGAAAAATTTGGTAGTTTTTGGAACGTTTTGGTAGTTTTTTGTCGGAACTTTGGTAGGAAAAATAAATTGTGAGTGGCAACGCTGGCTGCAAGGTAGTCAGATAGTGAAAATGACTCCGCATATATTTACATATAATACAGATTGCTGCAGAGATTAAAGAATAGTTTGGAAACGATGTTCAAGTCATTGTGGGTTTGTTTGTTTGAAGTCTATAGACGGCTAAACGGCTGGACAGATTTTCTTGAAATTTCAACAGTACCTTCCTGTATATCTGGAAGGAACTATAGGCTACTTTTTATTTCAAAATTTCAAGTAGGCGAGGTGCCACGCCTACTTATTAAATAACTATTAAAAGTCATATATCTTGGAAACTGCTACAATTAGAGTCCTCAAATTTTGCACGGACAACTTTGACATCCATAAGTATATTTTTAGACAAAATGGGCGGAATGACTATAGTGGGCGTGGCACCTTCCATATTGAGAAAATATTAAATCAGTATATCTCGGAAAATGTAACAGTTAGATCCCGCAAATTTGGTCGGAGCCACATAAGTCTCAATATAATTAGTTAGCGTGGCACCTCCCATATTAATTAAATACACAAATTCGTTTATCTTGGAAACTATTAGAGTTAAAAACTTCAAGAACTTTAGCATCCATGTAAATATTTTGGGTAATAAATTGGCGGACTACCAATGGGGGGAGCGGCACCTCCCATATGAATTAAATACAACAAAATATTTTATCTAAGAAACTAATAGAACTAGATTCCTTAAATTTTGCAAAAAGGACTTTCATATTCATCTGAACCTTTTGGGGGAATAAAAGCGGACTTTCATGAGGAGGTGGCTTGGAAACCCCATATGTTTATATAGAAAAATTTGAGATACTGTAGAAGCTAGAATCTTCAAATTTTACATGAACATTCATGTGAACATTTAGTGAAAAATGGGCGGACTTTGAATGAGGGGATTGACCACTCCCATATGAATTAAATACAATATTATTTACATTTTTCATAGCTTACATTAAAATCCTTATTAGCGTTCGGAAAAATCGGCGAACTTGCAATAATTTGAGTGGCATTTCCCATGTGTAAGTGGGTTTTTTTTTGCTTTTAGTGTAGCAAACCACACTGGGTATAGCTAGTAATGTATAAAATCGTTCTAAATTTATATAAGTGAAAAAAAGCATTTATAAGATGCCAAATAAACAAAAATTTAATATCTTACGGTCTGAATGGCGCCAAATGATGTAGAAAAGGAAACCGAAACCTTTTTTAACATTGTGGTGAAAGATTGACATAATCAATCTTAAGGAATTACGATATTATGGTAAAAAGTGGAATTTAAATTTTCTCAAAGATTTACCAGTCTCGTTTCCTTTCTAAGGCATTCGTCTCATATTATTATATCTTCCACATCGAACACAATGGCCAGATCTCAAACCGATGAAACATTTAAGAGAATAGGCGGATAGGTGAGTTAAAAAAAGCGACAAAAATTAATAGGCTAAATCGAATTACTGGTTCCACAATTATTCAGTCGTAAACATTGCAAATTTTTCACAAAAAAACCGTCATGCCCAACTTAAGGGTCCCATAAAATATAAAACGTATACGTTATGGATTTAATTTGGATTAAATAACCCATGCCAAGCTTACCTCTATAGCAGCAATAACTAAACCAGCATATTTAATAATATCGGCATTTTTATCCCAGAATCCAACAAAAGCTTCTTTGCAGCCAGTCTTAAATACGGTTTCATAACGACAGTCTTGTGGATTCTTACAGCATGAAGTAGGGAAATAACCCTTGAAACTATAATCCAAGTAACTGGTACGACCGCAACATTCCATCTATATGGGCAAGTAAAACAAAATTATTGTTAAAAAAACATTTGAAATATCAGAAAAATAACAACAAGCATACACTTATTTGTATGGCATCCATATAATCGGCCGAGGTAGTTCTCTTCTGCCAGGCCTTCTCGACAACATCACCCATAATGATTAAGTATTTGTCCTTTTGCAACCACATGTATGTTACCAAAACCAATTGGCCAATCATAAGTACAAACAACATAATGGAGTACTGAAATTGATATTAATTAAAAGATAATTAAGTATTTCCCTACATATTTGAAAGTCGAACTTACGGTCATTGACATGCAATAACTTTCTCTGATGGCACCACAACATCCAAAGAATGAAATCAATAATATAACGACACCCAAAACAATCATTGTTAGGGGCACCTGTTGGGATTTAAGTGCATCCGCAAAATCTTCCACCGAATGGATGTTGCTGAACAACAAAGCACCAAATACGATCAATAATATGCCACATATCTGAAATGAGACCGAAAAAAAGTTTATATAAAGAGTAATATTCAAAGTCGAGCTTCAGTATATTAAACTAATTTATTGAGCTTTACTTTTTCTCTTGGATATAGGGTTTGCTTTTATAGCCTTTCAAGATTGAGAACAACATTAGTTTTTCGAAACTCTCTTTAAATCGGTAGAAGTTAGACATTTATATACAACTTGCAATGAGGAGTAATATCTAGAAAGCGGTCCTATTTACATTGTTCATCAACATTTATAAATATGAACGATTTTTTATTCTAAAATTTAAGTTTAAAATAAGGTAATCTTTAATGGCTCCCAGGTCCTAAAATAAGCCTGGTTATGGAGCATATTTATGTTGAAAATCGATATCGGAGATATTTTCAGAAGAAGGACTTCTAAGGAGCTGGAATCAATTATGTATCGACAGAATAAGATAATATAATTATATAAATATTCTAGATTTGTAATAGAAGAACGAACTTAACAAAGTATTAAACTATATCGAAAGCTTTAAGAACTGTGTTACGGATTTAAATCTTAGGGAACGCGTTTAAAAAATTAATTACTCTTTAAAATATAGTTCAATTAGAGAAATGAGGAATCAATTCTTTCAAAGCTTTATTTCAAATGAACGTAAGTACAATGTGACATGTTAATATTTGATTACATTAGTAATAAACGTAATTTATCTAACAGATATGATTATATAAATTACAATACTTACAAAGTATTAACACATTTAATATTATTTATTATATTTATACATTGTTTATCATTTTCACAGCAATTATCAAATGCAGGAACATTCATTCCTAAACTATACATAGGAAATTTGAAAAGTCAGTCAGAAAATTTGATTACAATTATAACAGAGTAATATATTAATTAGATTGTTATCAACAATTTATCACAAACTTAATTAAACCTTGAGATTTATGAAAAACAACTAATCTGTTAGGCACAAACTTGCGCCAAAATCGAACTTGTCAACAATAACTTTCTCAGGAAATTGATACACAATTTTAATATCATAAAAAGTCATTTTACCTAAATTTAGTTAATGTAATTATATACAGTGTCTCGAAAAATAGTGTATTAATGAACTTAAAATGTTTATGCAAATCGATTTACACAAGCATTATCTCAGATATCGTTTAGTTTATTGGGTACAATGGATTCATTTTATAATTTTTACAAAAACATTTATTAAAGTGCAATTTTACTATTTATTATACCCATGTAAATCAAGTGTAATTTATTCATTTACTTTTGAATTTATAACAACAACAAAAACTGAAATAAGAGTATAAAGACGTGACAAAATGTTAAAATATTGAATTAAATTTAATTTTGAATATTAAAACTATAAACAACAACAATAACGCACATGATTTCTTCATATTTATTATAAATGACGTAATATTTTTCGCATTCCTAAAGTTGTACAAATAATATAGTATGTATAGTGAATAGAATTTATTCAAAAACAAAATATTAACTAATGACGATGTAAAACAACATAAAATTTGTATTATTACTACGTGTAAATGTGTAAAAAAAAGACATAAAGATGGAAACCGAAAAAGTTTTTGAAATACATATTAATATGATTCAATTCGCCACTATCCATTACACTTTTCCGTTCTTTGAAATGAAAAATAAAAGATAAACAATTTTTTAATTTTGTTTTAATGTCAAGGGTCATTCTAGTGTCAGTTTGTATTTTTTGTATTTAACTCAATGTCCATACTTCCGAAATAGTAATCAAATTTGAATTGTTTTACTACATATTGCACGAGATGATGTGTTATTTGTTGTTGCAACTTTTTCTCTTTCACTTTAATTAAAACATTTGATCTTTCGTATTGACCCCAAAAATGTATCGGAGACATACATACAATTAATAATGACAAGAAATTGTCATATATACGAACGATATTTTAATTATTTAATTTATTCTAAACTCATCGCATAAAGTAAACAGTCATATGGTTATTATTAATAGTGCCCTTCATTGTATGAGACATTTTTTAAAATTTAAAACAATTTTCCACAAAATTTTGTTAGAAACATGAATTTATGTAATTAATGAAAATTTTTTAAAGTCTTAAAAATAGCACTTATTTAATATAATAGAAATATTAAAAAAAAAAACTATAACAATATGTAGTACTTCCATGTACATTAGAGTATCCCTAGGAACAGCATTTCTGAGAATTTCTTGTAAGAATACTTCTTAATCGATCCGTATTACTGTACAGTAAATCTTGGAAAGAATGAACTATATTTGTATTTAACTTCCTTATATTTTTAATTCGGCTTTAATTTTTTAAATCATTCTTTGAATTTTAATTTTACATTAAGTTGAATTAATTCCTAAGAGAATCCATTCTTTATGAATTCATGATTCATTGAATGATCATTCTTATTTGTTTAATACCTTCTATTACAAATTAAATACATTTCTAATACAATTTTTAATATACAGAATGCTTTTAAATTATAAAACAAAACTTTTATTCAATCTATTTAAAATTGAATAGTTGAAATTTTTTTACAATTCAAAGGGAATAAAAATCAATAGGAATTGTTGAAATTTATTTTAACTCAATTTGTAACAGATTGAATACAAACAAAATTAATTCATTCAGAAGGAAAGCTTTAAGAATTAATTATAGGAATTAAATCGGAGGGAATGTGTTTGAAGAATTGTTAATTCTTAAAAATTTAACTTAATTTCAGAAAAAGAATTAGGGAATGAATTCTTTTAGAGCTTTGCTATACAGTGTTTCACTGTTTATACAAATAACACAAATAAGTTGTCTTAAAAATTTCCTAATTTTGAGCACATTGTTGGGAAAATATTCATAATTTTTTGAAGTACTTTAAGTCCTCTGAATGACTTTTAGTGTATTATGAGTGTCATATAAACTAAAAAAGTTTATGAAATGCTAAATAATTTTGTAAATATTTAGATATTTTATTAAAATATTAGAGAATTTATGAATTTATAATTGAAAAACAATTGCAAATTGCACTGAGATCAAGATTTTCAATCCCTGGTAGGGAACTGAGAAAGTTTTCAAAAATACGTATCGCATCGTTTGAGAGGTTTGCCTACAAAAAAGTTTTACACGGTACACATGTGATATACATATCGTCACCTGGAATGCAAACGGCTCTAACTAACCAAAAATTCAAAATCGATTTTATTGGTGATTCTAATGTATTGCATCAAAACAAAAGTCCACAAAATTGGACTCCTCCGACCATAATTATCGATTTTATTGACAGAAAACAAAAGGCCCTATCTGCAAAAACATTTAAATATTAAAGGTAAAAAGTCCAATTTATCCATTTTTTTATACGCCATTGTCAACTATCATAACAAATGATAGGTTTCACTATTAAACAATTTGTTTATTTACTACAAATAAATCGCGTTGATAGAAACAAACTTTTCAATATAAATAGTTTTTTGCTTCTCCTGTAAAATTTAAAAAATGTTAGATAGGGCCGTTTGCGTTTTTGGTGACGATATACATATGTGTATGTATGTACATTAGGCTTCCTTTCAAAAAATAAAATGTTTCCCGTTTTTGTGATATGACAACTTTTTAGAAGGTTTTTATATCAGTGATTACTATGCCGTAATAATTTTTTCAAAATTCCAACTCCTTCTTCTGCATATCTGAGGCGGAAACCACTGATTTTGAGCGACATTTTTTACAGAGCCGAAACTGCAGAATTTATAGGAAATCATGCTCTAATAATTGATTTTATAGGAAAAATCAATAAGAAGGAGCTTAATTTCACACTTTTATAATGCTTCAAAAGTGCATTTAGTATTATCCAAAGATGTACTTTTTTCAAAAAATATTTCAAAAAATTTTTTTCTTTGTGCATAATCAAAGTATGATTTTTGCTGAGACAAATTGTGCAAAAACAAAAATTTTATCATTAACCCTTTAGATGTGAGGAGACTTTAAATTTTCAGATTTTAAACTTTACAACGCTATATTTCGAAAACCACGAAAGTTATAAGGCCCAAAATTTGTCATTATACAAGTTATATATGAAAAATTAATTGGATAGAGTTTTATTAAATTCGGAGATGATGATGATGAAAAACACCATCGTTTGATGGAAAATTATTAAACCACAAGCCAACATTATAACCATCATAACTCCTAAACGGATTACAATATATTAAAAATTTTAACACTATTTTTTTAGGGGCATTGAATATTATATTTACGAATGATAAAATCAGGTTTTGATTTTTTTTTTAAATTGCATTTTTTCTTTTGCTCTTATGCATTTATAGTGCATCTAAATTCTGTCATATTAAGATTATATATCTTAAATTTTCCTGTAGAATAGTATACTAAAGTCGGATATGAAATATGTTCAGCAGTTTTCGGTCTATAAAAAAATGACACCCAAAATCGGTATTTTGGCCGCAGATATGCAGATGAAGGAGTTGAAATTTTAACAAAATAATTACGGAAATATTAGCGCTGTTACAAAAACTTTCATAAAAGGTATGATATGACAATTTTAAAAATATTGCGTGAAGCCTAATGTACATATGTATAAATATTTTTGTTTTTAGTTATAGAAATTGTAAACCAAATTTTGTAACTTTTGTTTATTTGAACAAAATATTTTTTTTAACTCAAAAACTAGTTGTAAAACAAAAGCATTAAAACTGGTTAACCTCGAATTTTATTTTTGATTTTGTATGCATCTTGACGAGAAATTTTATTTAAAAAACTGGTTACGAATGGTAGATTTTGAATTTATGTTTTATTAATGTTAAAATGTACAATTTTATGTTAATATTTACTGTACATACATATATCTGTATCTATGTATGTGCTTCTGCTTAGAAAAAAGCTCTTTATTACAACAACATTAGTATGTATTTCTTTCCACAAATACACAGAAAACGCAAAAAGAAATAACAAATAATTATGTTACTTCTAAATGTTTAAACAATGATGCTAAATTAGAGTTTTGAGGGGATTTAAAAAAACGTTACCAATTTTGTGTTTTGTTTCGATTTCAAAGATCTTTTATTTAAATTATTCTCTAAAAAAGTACTAAAATGCTTAACCATTTTGGCTTAACATTCTAACATTTTTTCTTATTTTTAAATTACTTCTATTACAAACTGAATGAAAGAAAGAAAAACTACTAAATTCGATTTGGAAAATATAAAATGTTTTTTTTTAAATATTAAACTAAACGTTCCACAGTGAGACATTTGGCACTTTTAGAACGACATTAATCAAATCATAGTGATATTGAGTTCTAATTTTAGTTACAGTTAGCAAACAATTGGCCAAACGCTCCACATAATAATCAGCACGATAAGACTGCTGCCACGCCCATTTTTTACAAGTATATATTGAATAAAAATTAAATTTTAGGTCGCATATATCTCAAAACTTTTGCAATCGATTTTGAATTTTTATATATTTTTAGAAAGCCAATTTTATACAGATTGCTATTTATTTATAAGAAAATGCAAAATATAAATATTTGTAGCACAGTCTCTGGAAAAAGTTAATAAAACCCATTTTCCTATTTAAACAAGTTTTCAACGTTTAGGTAATGTTTTAAACGGGTTAGTATTATCCGATTTGTCTCAAACGCTCTGCATTGCAGTTTTAGTGCATGCTCTTCTATACTTTTTAAAAACATGCTTTATATAACCACCCTAATGAATATTAGGGTAGTCACTCTTAGAAATTTTTATCAAATTGTACAAATATTTGCAAATAAGTGAATGCAACATTAAAAAACAATTTATACTCTAATTAAAATTTAAAATAAAATTTAAATTCCGCGGTTTTTACAAAGAACAAAATAAATTTATAATCTATGAATTTAAATCTGGAAATAAACAGAAAATTTTACTTTTTAAATAAAGCTATGACACCTGATTGGCTTAAGTAATTGTTTTTTAAAAGCACTAATTGTGGGCTAATATATGGTGCCGAGGCCAAAATTTATGTATACCCCTAACGTGAGTTTACACTTAATTAAAAAAAAAAAACATATTAAATTCTATAGGACACTCTATTTTCTTTTGAATATATCTGAAGATCGCAAAAGATCGCAGCCAATTTTCATATATATGTTTCTATAGAAAATTTTCTATGCAAGGGTTATAATTAGATAACTGCAATTGGCTGCAGTCATTAGATCTATTCCATTAAAAATATAATTTTTAAATATCTTTTTATTATTAATATTATTTTTCCTTAGAGTTAAAAATAAAACCTTTAAAATTGAGCTTTTGTCTAAAAAATCATTGCAGAATAATCTTGAAGTACTAAATTATAATACAGTGAAGAAACTATATAAATATCTGAAATATTTACCAAGATATACGCATTCAAAATTAATATGCCGCTTCAGGAATATTACAAGAAATTTATTTTATTTTTAAAAGTAGCAACTTTAAGCACCTATATTTCGGGTTAAAGGAACTCTGCAATATTTTTAGTTATTTTTCTATAGTATATGGAATGCTTACTGTTAACTATAATAACAAGCAAGACAATTGGAAAGCGTTTAATTTTTTATTTTTGTCGTTCTAAAAGTACCAAATGTCTCACTGTGCGTTCTTTAGATTTATTTAAATTAAATAGAAAGGTTTAAATTTGGTTTGTAATTGATTTCAAACTAAATTTTTTTAATTTATATGAAATATAAATTTATTTATGATTTCGCCAATAAACAATATTTTCTATCAAAAAAGAGTTTACATAAAGTACATAATAAAATACGATATTAATATTAAAATTAAAAATAAAAATAAACTTACCGAACATAATAGATTGAATAAAAATAGTATATATTTCACCATTCCCATGCCACAACTCATTTTGTTTTATTTTTTATTAGATGAACTGAAATGATTTGTTTACATTTATTATAACTATGTTATAAATACGCCTTATAAAACAGGTTTCGATACAAACAAAATAAAATATTAAAAGCATTTTAGTTCTCGTTAAATGAAAAAAACAATCCATTTTTTCCTTAATTATTTATTCTACAAATAATCTTGTAAATTACATGCAACTTTTCTTAAAATATATATGTTTGTGGAGTCATTTTTAACGAAAAAAATATAAATATTCTGCATTTCGATGTGATTTAAAACAATTGAATAAAACCAAATAATTTATCTATATGTTGAAAAAAATTTGAATTAATACACATAAAATGCTATAAATAGGCCTTTCGATCAAAATTATTTATTTCAGTTCCTTAGTTATTATTCCGAATGAGTTTATTTTAGGTCTTTGAAATTGAGTTTATTCATATTTCTGTTTGACGTTTTACTTAATCTGTAGCAAAATACGGAATTAATTACCTATTTGATTGGAAAGTCTATGGAAGGGTTAATAATTGTCTCTATTTATCCGATTTGGAAAGGTCGCAGTAGTATCATTGACCAAAAGAGCTAGCCATACAAAACATTTCTTTAAAAAGGCCATAAAGTAATTCATGATCATGATAAAAATATGATATTTTTACCATGATTCAGATTGAATATGTTAAATAAATAGCAAAAAAAAGTAAAAAAATCAGTCTCAAAGTGCCTAAATTTTTATTTCTATAAAATAAATATCTTTGTATTTATAAAATCCACTTTAATTTTCTGCCACAAATATTTCAAATGAGTAATTAATTGTTTTAACTGTTTTTTTTTAGTTTAGCGAAACCAGTTTTCCCTTTTGGTCAGTTTAAAGTTTTCCACTGTAAAGTAGATACATATTACGGAAACCAAACATTTGAGCTAATAGGGATCAAACTATACACTAATAACGGCAAGTCGAAATGCAGAACATTATTAAAATTTACATTTGTTTTTAAAAGTTACGTCAATTTCTAAATTTAACGAACTAATTCGGGTAATAGTTTTTCTTTGGGTAATATGGAGGCCTTGAAATCGTAAAAAGCTTTCCAGATCCAAGGATAATGAGAAACTTTGGCCAGCATAGATTCTCTTGATTGTGTGGATGCTTCAACATTTGCCAAATGTTTATAGTACTTGGCGTTTCTTTTAACGCTACCATTGGCATCTTCAGCAAAACGGGCGAAACGTAATTTTAGCAAAGTTTCGGAAATGTCCAATAAACGATTGCCCTTGGGAGGATGTACCAAACAAAGTTGCGAGACAACATATTTATCGGAGGCGCGGTTGTTTAGTGGTATAAAAGTGGCCTCACGTCCGACCAGACAATTTTGCAACCAGGAAATACCATTGCCATTAACCTTTACGCCCGGCAACTTAATGGGCAACAAACGTTTATTGCTCATGAATAGAGGTATTAATGGGCGGTGACTGATGAGCAGTAAAGTATCTGGACCCTTTTGCTGTACATCCTTGATGAGACCAGTGTGCATGACACGCTCATTGATTAGGCGATCTGGTATGTGGGAGGGCTTCTTAAAGGGACGCACCAAATAGGCGGGTTTACGTTTAGCATACGCCACCAGCAACATTAAACCCGAAGTGCCATAAATTAGTACCTCTGTACCCAGTGTTTCGCGTTCCATAATGTTGCATAAGTTTTGATATTTTTCGGCAATAAATGACTTGGTTGCTTCCATTTTGTGTAGAAAATAATTGAAATCAGTCTTCTTGAGATGCGAATGCAAATGTTGTATTTACTATTGTTGTTGAAGTTTGTGGTTAAGTTTTTAGTATCGATACTATTCTGAGTTTGAAATTTAAGTACGTTTTGCAATGTTTTTTAACCTACAAAAATTTAAGATGCCGATTAGTTAAACTTGTTGAATAATTGAATTGTTTTCTTATTTTTATAAAACTGATGACATCATTTACTTTTTTTTTTTTTTTTTGTTATTTTTATATGAATGATGATCGATCTTTTCTACTTGCACAATTCTCTAGACGCACATTATTAAATGCCCCGCTCCATGTATTAACTAATTTGAAAATATTTTTAAATATCGTTTTGTTATTCAATTCAATATGTATAATATTTTTATTTGTCTCTTTTGTGTCTTTTTTCGGCAGCAATCTTTCGTTCTTTTATTTTAATGTCTAAAGTCGACCAAAGAAGAATCTTCTACACAATTGTCAGTGTTGTTTTGTTTGTCAGTTTGTTTTTTATTATTATTTAACTTGACAATTTGCCGTATTGCAGACAGCAGTTTGACATTTTCTTTGTTGTTTTCTGGTTTTTATTTTTATATTTTATTTCTTAAAAATATTTATTATGTTTTATTTTCATTTCAACATTCGCTTTTTTTAGATTGAAGGTCGCCTCAAAACATCACACTATCGCACAAACATAGTTACACCTACAAAAACAATAGGTGTGAGTGAGAAATAAAAAAAAAAACTACTTTTATTTCCTCTCTGTGCTTATTTAACAAAAAACGAGAACTAAAAGCTTTTAAGCTTTTATTTTGAATTTTTTTTAATGTGGTTATTTTTCAAAATATTTGTGTCAAAAACTGATCTTGTTGATGTTTTTGTTGTTTGTACCTTTTTGAATAATAATTTATATGTATGTAAATTAGATTTGTGTTTAGTAGTTTTCTAAGCAAAATAACAACAAAAAAATATCACTTTTGTTGTTTCACGTTTTATTTTTTATTGTTGTTGTATAAATTAACCAAGTTAATTTAATTCTCTTATTCGGAGCTTAACGTCTTAACCAGCGTCGTGTTCGTTACAAACTGATTGTCATTATTGGCGGTTGTGATGGAAAAACCACCAGTTGAATTTAATTTGAAAACATTTACTTATATAGATATGTATGTTTGAATGTCGTACATATTTTGTTTTTATTTTTGTTATTGTTTATTATTTTTTATGAGATCTTGTATTTTGGTGACTTCTCTCGCCAAAACCTCCCATAAAACATTTCATACGTACAAATTTCGTTATTTCAACCGATTCATCTCTAATAATAATCATTCATTCATTCATTCAAATGAGAGTCAGACAAATCTAATTAAACGCAATTATATATTACGTTTACATTGACTATGTTGTCATTATGATTGTGTTGGCTTTTGTTTGATCTAATACTAACGTATTTATGTTTTTTACCCTTCACTACCACATCGGTGACAATAGAGGGTCTATATAAGTTTATCATTATGTTTGTAACATTGAGTATTGTTCATCGAAATAACGGCCCTAATGTGACTTCGACAGGTCTATACAAACCACCGAAATAATGAATTTATTGCAAATCTACTAAAATCCAATTGCATACATTCACGAAATTGAAGTGTTAGTGACCGGCCTAAACTTGTTATGTAATATAAATCCATTATATATGTAGGTATGTTAAAGATTTAGATACCGTATTTTAAATAACGGAATAAACACAAAATTTTGATCAAAGATTTGAGATTTGCATGCGTTTCGTGGTGGACAATCGGGCCCAATATAATTTTTAATCTATAATTGTCAAACCCTACTCTATTTAATGCAATGAAAAATTCGGTGCGGGCTCGATTTGCGAAACTACCTATTATGTATTGCATTTGACCGATTTGCGCAACAGCCCATATTTTAACATTGCAACTTTATAACAGCATCTTTTTTAAAAAACGTTCGCGATAAGTGAAACTTTGCAAATATTTGGGAGCTATGTATGTATGTATATATCTTTTTATTCTCTTTGTTTTTCCGCCAGAAACTTATAATTTGATGTCCCCGGAAATACAAGTGTAGATAAACACGATGTACATATGTATCTGGAAACCGACATTGAAGAATCGTTAAGTTTAAATTTGAAAAAAAAAATTTATTACAAAAATTTTTCAGTTAAAACTGAATGTGTACATTATCGAGCATAAAGTCTTCTATGTAGGTGAAGTATTATTAAAATTCGGCATAACTTAATATTGCACTCAAACTTGTTTTTATGTACGTATGTATGTATGTAAGTATGTATTTAATATATGTATTTATGTATGTATGTACGTGCATTCTATGTTTGTCTAATTGTAATTCTAATGACTCAGATCATTGAACATTCCAAGCATTCAAATATAGAATTTTAAAATGAATTGAATTTCTTAAATTTATTTTACATAAAGAATCTAGAAGATACATATATCTGTCGTATGTATGTAAATTTCAATTCGTAAACATCCGTCGATTTAAATCAATAAAATTAAGAGTAAAAAATTTAATTACAGAATTTTTGTTTCAGTATTTTTAGATGCTACTACGAAACAACGCCCAATTTAATAGAGTATTTTTGAAATAATGTTGAATTGAATTCAACAATATTGAATTGCATAAATATTAATATTTTGAATTATTAGAACTAAATTAACTCAATTTTTAGTTCTTTATAAACTTAAGGCCCAAATAGACTATACAAGCGGCTTATCAAACATACGTTTTTCATTCGCACACACTCTACACAAACATTGCTCGTACAAACAACGATTTTTTCACGTTTTTGTGGACTTTCAAAGATACAAATCTCAATTTTTCTTAGAAATGTAAATTTTTTGAACAATTTTTAATTAATGAATATAAACCATACAAATGGTTTGACAAAAATTCAATATGTTTGTGTAAAAATCAAAATTTTTTAATTTTTGTACAAACAAACAGCAAGCAATTGTACAAACACGAAACACCCTCATACACTACACAACAGGCTTGCACAAACGTAAAATATTGGTATGTTTGTCAAGCCGCTTGTGTAGTCTATTTGGGCCTTTACTTCTTCTAAAAACGATTATTCTTATTTTTTCAATTTCATTTATTACAAATTGAATGAAAGTAAAAACTGACTTTTTGTGACCTTTGACAGCCAATATCACGTGATATGGTGACGTTTAATACCTTATTAATAATATTAAATAGAAGCTACCTGTGACAATTTTCATTTAGCTATCTAAATTACCACAGCAAAACCCTTAATTCCTAGACTGATATGCTTTTTTGTGTTCTTCGTCCAATGATAATTTTTCATTCAATTTTAAATGTATTGGAAAAAAGTAAAAAATCAGGCCACAGCAGTGGTGAAATATTTTCACTGTGCAATGTGAAAATATAATATGCATTTTAACTCCAATTATTAAATTCGAAATACATACAGTTAAACACAACTTTTAAGGCACTGACGGATAAATATATAGTTCCTACATAACTTTGGTTTCTATATAACTTGTTTGTGTTTATATTTGTCACTATACCGTTTTTAAAGCCAGTTATGCGCGTTAAAGTCATTTTCAAAAGACGATGTTATATGTGAAATTTGGTAGAGAGACATGACTAGATAGATCGTCTTAAGTGTCTAATAGATTTCCAAAATAAGTATACCTTTGCGGATCTTAGACCACTATTTCGATGTTTTACAAAGGTAATGACAAATTGTGAAAAAAATATTTCAAAATATTCCTGTCATATTTTATAGTAACGATAATTCGACAGTTTTCATACAAAAAAATATTTTAACTAGCAGAATATCAACCGGTTACACGACAACCGAAAGTTAAGATTATGGTCCTAAGTATACATTTTAAGTGTGAGAGTCCTTGAAACTTTTTACTTATAAAACTTATAATTCGTGTAAAAAAATTGGATTGATGGGCTTAATTCGTTATAACCGTTAAAATAACATTTCCGTTATTTAAAAATGATTTTTGCTTTTTTTGATTTTCCAATTGAATGGCAGAGCTCATATAAGCAAAAAAAAAAAAAATTAATAAAAGTATTTTATATATCAAAAAATATAGTACAAATTTCATATAATTTTAGATTTTTTCAAAATATTAATATTTTTTTCAATATTAAAATTTTGAGGCATACAGTGTTCCCGTAATAAGCCCTCCATATAAATATTCAACATTTTTCTTTTGCCCACTATGTTTTTTAAAGACATTATTACCTTAATAGCGTTACGTTTTCAATGATTCGAAACTTTGGATATAACCGTGTTCGACTGTAAGAAAATACATACGATGTTTTCTTATTATTTTCATTGTTTTTATTTACTAAATATTGCTAATAAATGTAATGCTGATTTAAATTTGAATATCATTATAAATATACCTCAAGGATGGCAAATGTGAATTAATCAATAGCAAAGTCTTCAGTTTCGTCTTTCTAAATCCGTTGAAAAACTTTAAATCGTGGATATATAAAAGGAATGTTTTAAAGTTTTAAATTCCAATAATAATGTCCAACCGATTCTTATAAAAAATTACACAAAACAAAACATAACTTGAGATATGTACATTTTCATTTTTGCCACAGATATGTACTTTAGGGTTCAACCAAAATTAGGCTCTATCACTTCGTGGTAGCCACTAGGGTTCTAAAAACGAAAACGTTTTTCTCGTGTCATTTTGGTGCAAAAACCTTCTCATTTTTGGGTACTAAATTTGAAAGAGGGATAAACCGCAGCCCCTATCCTTGCTTTTTCTCCGTGCAATTGTTGTGATGCAAACAATGACATTAGTTTATATCGAAAAATTCCAGTTTTGTATTAGGTTAATTTGGCAGCCGCCCGAGGCAAAGCTCACTTGGGTCCAGATAGGTCCCTATAGGTTGACTGAGTTGGGTCAAAGGATAAAAAGGTCCTTTTTAGGGTTTTCTAATTAAATATAATGTGATATTGAAAATTTTACGATTTTTTCGGTAAATTTTTAAGTTTTTCAAATTTTTACATATAATTATATAATGTAATTAATTGAAATTATTACATTATAAACATCCTACAATTTCACCGAAATGTTTTTTCTGTTTTTCGAAATTCTTTATATTTTGTATTTTATTTTAATATTTTAAACTCTATTTTGTTCAGATTTTCTGCTAGCTATATTTATCCAACGTACTTAATATGTACACCGGCATACGCATAATTTACAATGGTATATAAAACTTTATGGTTTCATTCTATTATCAATCAAATTTCTCAGTTTAACTAAAATATTAACACAATTTATCCCAAACATCTACTTATTTGTTATGCTTGCTTTGTAAATAACGGTTTCTATATTGTTGTTTACATTATTTAGCGATGTTTTAGTAGCGTACATAAGCTTCTATAAATTTAAATAAAATTTGATCTAGATTGAATTTTGAAAAACGGAAAAAACTGTTTCGGTAGATTTTATTGAGGATTATTGTGTATTAATTTCAACGAATTATATTAAATTCATCTATTCATCTGAAAAATTAGAAAATTTCGATTACTTTTACTGTTATACAAACATTTCTGATATGCCATTGAAAGCATCTCTCAAGGACCTTTCTTATTATACCAAAATTTTATAACTTTCCTTTGGAAAAAATATGAAAAGGACCTTTTTATACTTTGATTCAGCTCGCCAAATATTGACCCCAGGACAAAAATTTTCAGAAACGCTATCTTATAATCAATTAGACTTTTTTGGGATGTTCCCAACACCTTATTTTTCCTCCATACAAACGGGGCCACCCTAATGTACATATATATGTATATGTATATTGATTAAATAACTAACACAAGATCCGGGAGAAATGGTTTTCTAAAAATTAAAAAAATAAAAAATTTTAAAAGCAGAAAAAAGCATTTCGGTGAATTTATATGAGATTTCATAAGTTATAATTTCAGTTATTTAATTTAATTAATTAATTCTATGTAAAAATTTGGAAAGTCAAAATTTTTTTAAGTACATATGAGCAATTCCATGAAAAGGTAAACCACGACTAAAAAAAT